CTTATTGAACCATTTCTTCAAACAGAAACATTTAAGCGATCGTCTCTTAGTGGCCTACAAACGCTTCTCTAATTTAATTAATGAGGTGCATGAATTACTTTTTAAACACTCCCATTGGAGGAATCTGCCAGTGGCCTTATTTCTCTTAACATTAACACGAGGAAAAACAAAACAAGCTTTCCGTTGTATAACAAAAGATAGAATCTCCTCATCCTTGAGTCTCAGATGAGTTTATTATACTCCCTGAAACTCGACTTCCCTTAAAGGGGTCATATGATGCGATTTCAAGTTTTCCTTTCTCTTTGGAGTGTTACAAGCTGTTCGTGAATAGATAAGATCCCTAAAGTTGCAAAGACTAAAGTCTCAAATCCAAAGAGATATTCTTTATAAAAGTTCAGAGTCAGTCACACCTACCTAAAACGCCTCGTTTAGGTAGGTGTGGGAAGTGTGGGAAGATTTGCATAACGCCGCCCAAATGTTCACGCAAAGAAAGAAGGCGTAACTTTGATTCTCGCTGTAGTATTGTTGCTGCCGCTGCCGCCATGTCGTGGAGACGCTGTGTTTCGTTGTGAAAGCAAAACTACTTTGTTTGGCCTTCCAAAAGAGGACACAACTAGAAATCAGTGGTTAAGTTGTATGTACAACACTGTTCCAGAACAGTTCAAACCAAATATTCGTGTGTGTGCAACCACTGATCTATAATAGAGAACTGGATTGCTCATGACGTAATGAAAGTGAAGCCGCCGCGCCGCCATATTGGTAATCCCCACTATTCCCATACATTCCATTGAATTAATAGGAAATCGTACACATTTAATGAGAAAACATCACCTAACAAGTCAGCGTTTTTAAATCTGAAGTATCTCTGTACATTCTTACAATGCAAACACCCTAGGCATGTAAACGGTTATTTTTTTTAATGTCGGGAATTTCCCCTACTTATTAAAAAGCTACGTTCATTACAGTAGAGAACATCATGAACATGATAAACATCAGACGGACACGACCTCAACATATATATAACAAATGACAAAGTGTTCATTCTGAAATCTGAAGAAAGATTTAGGCTTTGTATACACATTTACCTTTATTCGCCGTGTACAGTTATTCATTGTTTATATAATTTTGTTATTTATTCGTACAGTATAGGCGCTAACTGCAAATGTTTCAACAATGATTTCGTTAACAGCATTCATTTTGAAGCAGGTAATGATTTAAACGGTGGTTAAATTAATTATTAATTTAGCATACAACGTTTTACATGGAAACAATGCTAGTAAACATATGTGCGCGATCTTGGAGAGTCTGAAATAGATGTTTCTCAATCAGGACATTAAAAATATACACATCATAATTTATTCAGAGAAATAACTGACTTCATACAGTACAGACATGAAACTTTATTTCAAGACGGTAAGTTAAGCTTTTCATTTCAGTATAGAGCAATATAGTAACAGAGGCTATTGTATTATTCATTGTATATTCAAATCAATTTCTGATACTAATACGTTCATGTTTAATAATTCCTGAATAATTACATACATAAAAAATAGGCTATATTTTGTGTTGGATCAGTTACCTGTGTCGGCAGTGCGCAGCAGACACATCCACCTAAACGGTTTAAATATATCGCTTATCCTGCCCAAAAAGACCATAAACATTGCAGATAAAATATGAAGTAAAAATTTATTTACATACACATAACATAAAAACTAATCCCGTTTGACTGATTTGCTTAAAATCGGGTGATTTTAGGTCAGTGTTTTAGCTGTGACTCAATGGCGGATCGAACACTTCCGGTGGCTTCACTGCCTGTTGGCAGTTTAGAACGCGATGAGCGATCCAGTCATATATACCGTAGATCAGATGTGTGCAACGCATTTTACGGAGGAATTTTTCCTGAACCTGGGAGAGTAGCCTACAATGCCGTCTGTTCTGACTCACAGCCTGTAAGTATGCTTTCATATTTAAAGAATTTGCCACTGAGTTTTGAGCAGTGTAGAGTAGCGCTTGTTGTTTATAATTTCTCCGCTCACAAATGCAGACATGATTTTATGTTTACGCGGCGCAATATGCAATGCAACGCTAAAAAGCCAGTATAAGTCATTATAATCAGTAATTATGCCCCCACTGGATGCAACAAATGCCTCGTTTATAATGGGTTTTATTGGTTTTGTCTCGTCGTGCCAGGACACGGCATCACAGTATGGTAAGGGGCGTAACAGTTCCGTCACACGCTTGAGGTATTCAGCCAATCACAACGCACTGGATAGCTGGCCAATCACAGTACACCTCACTTTTCAGACCGATGAGCTTTGTAAAAATCGAGGCGTTTCAGAAAGGTGGGGCATAGAGGAGAAACAATAATGTACAGTATGTACAGGAAAAGAATGTGTTTTTTGAACCTTAAACCGCATAAACACATTTCATTACACCAAATACACAAAAATAATGTTATTTTTTAGCAACGTCATATGACCCCTTTAAGAATGTTGCTCTTGTAGATTCCCTGAACCACTGGAAAGCAATTATAATTCCTGTTTCTGACAAGTGCCTTTTTTAATTCAGCTAATATCAAGATCCTCAAGAAAAGTTATAGCAGCCTTTCCTCAAAAAGCCAAATGAATATTTAAAGAATTTGCCACTGAGTTTTGAGCAGTGTAGAGTAGCGCTTGTTGTTTATAATTTCTCCGCTCACAAATGCAGACATGATTTTATGTTTACGCGGCGCAATATGCAATGCAACGCTAAAAAGCCAGTATAAGTCATTATAATCAGTAATTATGCCCCCACTGGATGCAACAAATGCCTCGTTTATAATGGGTTTTATTGGTTTTGTCTCGTCGTGCCAGGACACGGCATCACAGTATGGTAAGGGGCGTAACAGTTCCGTCACACGCTTGAGGTATTCAGCCAATCACAACGCACTGGATAGCTGGCCAATCACAGTACACCTCACTTTTCAGACCGATGAGCTTTGTAAAAATCGAGGCGTTTCAGAAAGGTGGGGCATAGAGGAGAAACAATAATGTACAGTATGTACAGGAAAAGAATGTGTTTTTTGAACCTTAAACCGCATAAACACATTTCATTACACCAAATACACAAAAATAATGTTATTTTTTAGCAACGTCATATGACCCCTTTAAGAATGTTGCTCTTGTAGATTCCCTGAACCACTGGAAAGCAATTATAATTCCTGTTTCTGACAAGTGCCTTTTTTAATTCAGCTAATATCAAGATCCTCAAGAAAAGTTATAGCAGCCTTTCCTCAAAAAGCCAAATGAATTTAGCTCCAAAATCGCTAAAAGGGCATTTAGTTTTATCCGAAACAGATGAATGTAAATCTGACAGCGTTTTAATTCATTATTGAGGCGGTTCGGAAGTGAAATGTCTGTGGTACTAAAAGATCATTTTTGAAAGAAAAAAAAAACTTACCAACTACACTAAACCAATAAACCTAACCGAGAGTGTTAACAAAAGCAAACGTGAGATTAAAAAGCCATTTGCTGAAGCAATCATACCATTTTAGATTGATTCTACAGGATTCTACTTTAAGCTCTTTTGTCACTTATATTGCAGCTCCACATCACAAGTGCAATGCTGTACCAGGTGCGCTACCCAGCAAGTTTACAACATCAGAAAAGCCACACATACAAAAGTGTAATGCTGTACCAGGTGCACTACCAAGCAAGTTTACTACATCAGAAAAGCCATAGGGTACAATGGGGCTAAAGGCGCCCAGGGTAAAAGGAGCCTTTGATTTTATTTTCCTCTAAACCACTAGATGGCACAAAAACTTGGCATAGCACTTTCTAAAACATCAGCTTTTCAAGATGCACATGCAAATTAGGCTGATCCTTGACACAATCGCGGGCAGCAGCACAAAGTTGACTCTGTGCTAATTTGATCTAATATTTGATTTTTTTCTTTTTTATGTTGTAGATTTAAGTAGCAAATGAGAATCGCTAAAATTACTGAATATATTTTGAGACAAAGGTCTTCTTAATGAATTTCAGTTTTGTTTAAGGTAATTAAAGCAATAGTTTTTCAATATTTATAAGATTTTTAAACAAAATAAACCATTTGTATGATTTATTTTCACACAAAACCTGTTGCAACATAAATATTCAATGCAAACATTTAAATATACACTGTATATATATATATATATATATATATACATACAAAAAAAATTCTGCAATCATACAAAAAGCAAATTTTTTCTTAAGGTGTGCCTTTAGCTTCGTTGTACCCTACATATGGAGCTTGTAAAAGTGTTTTGAACTCATAGTATAGCAAGGAACTGCACAAAAATATCTTTATTAATCAAAAAATCTGCTCCTGTATCATAAATTGTATGAAAAAGAATAAAAGTTGTTGGTGTTTTACTGCCACTAGTGTAAATTTATCCTGGAAACTGCAGATAATTTTATGTCTAGGTAAGTTTTTGGAGTTTTGCAAAAAATGTAGGTAGAGACACATTTTTCCAGTGCCAATGCTGAACAAAAATCTAGCAGTCTTAAAATCTGGCTGTAAAATTAATCTAAAACAGTGTGATATTCTGGTAACAAGTTTTAGTTAGGAGAGACAGAGTTGGTTTAGGCCATCCTCTTCCTTGAAAATGCTACTTGAAACTTAAGATGTCTTAATAGCATAGTTGAAGCGAAGAGATCTTTTACATGAATAATTCATCAAGGTCTCTTGTCCTTATGTCATCTTTCTGTAGTTTCACAGTTCTCTATGCCATTAAGAATTATTGTAAGAAAAAAAAGTGGCCTATGTACATGTAGGCGGTATTTGCACAAGTTTTCATTTCCGAGACCTTGATATTTAAAAAATGATGGCTTCATTTTTTGCTTATGGGACCTCATACGTTTTTTTTTTCTGTTCCTTTTGAATAATTACCAGTGAAAGTCTCTTCATTGTAAAAAGCTTGAGTGGTGAAGGGGAACTACTGTTGAATGTGTATACAAACTTATAAATGACACACTTCCTACCTGATTTGCTTGCCTTCTCTCAGGTCATACAAAGAGAAGAAGATGTCTGTGTCCTCGCCGATGGTGTTGTATGTGAAGCTCTTTAGGTTGACAAAGAGATGGTGTGGCACAGGCATTCGACACGAATCCCCGTGTCTTTGTCTTCCGCCATCCTGAAAACACAGAGTGAACAACAGCTTTACATTATGTCATGAGATGTTTGTTACAGTATATGTTATAGTGTTATTTTGTAAAGCTGTTATGTGTCATATGATAATACAGTATGTGCAAGGTCATTTTATGGAATATTGTGACATTATTTTATGTTGCTGTTATGTTACAAGGTATATTGTTTCATGTTATGTTATATCATTACATATTATGTTATGTTATATTGTTACATGCCATTGTACTGTATATTATGTTATCTTATATTGTTAAGTTATATAGTTACATGTGTGATGTTATGACATGTAACAATGCCACAACATGATATAACACATGGCAAAATATATAACGATATTACATGTAACGCTATAACATAGCATACAACGATATATCGCATGACTTGATATACCACAGCATGACATGACATGATGTTATCTAATATTGTTCATTTTTATGTTATATGTGTTGTTACATGTGTTTTTATATAACAACATGTAACAATATACCATAGCAAGACATGGCAAAACATACAAAGATGTAACATTTAATGCTATACTATAACGTAACAATATATCACAACTTGTGATATACCACAGCATGCCATGGCATAACAATAATCCACCACATTATATAACAACACAACATTGCATAACATATAACAATGTAACACGTTTTTATCAACATGTAACATAATGCCACAGCCAGACATGGCAAAACATATAACGACATAACATGTAATGCTATAACATGACATGTAACCATATATAACATGATATTTGATACACCACAGCATGCTATGACAAAAAGATATACCACAACATGATATATCAACACAACACTGAATAACATATAATGATATAGCATGCAATGCTTAACACGTAACCATATATCTCATGGTGTGATATACTATAGCAGGGCATGCCATAACACATAACAATATACCACAACATGATATAAAAACACAACATTGCATAACATATAACAATAAAATAACATGTAACGTTATAACATAACATGTAACCAAATCTCACATGATGTGATATAGCACAGCATGATATGCCACATGTAACAATACACCACATGATATAACACAACACTACATAGCATAGTAGTAAATAGTAATAGTAAATCTATAACACAATTTGACGATACGTCATTACATGCAATGCTATGTTGTGGCATGGTATTACATGTTGTTGTTATGTTATGTTATGTTGTTGTGTTGTATGTTGTTATGCTATGTGCCTATTTTACTAATGACCTATATTCGAACTAGTGCTTTATACATAACTGTAAAAGGTCATTTAGCATGACCAAAACAGAGTAAACAAGGTGTTTGGATCAAAATGTCACATTTTAACCCATGGTGAACCATGACCTACAAAAAGTTCTATAAGTTAATGACTCTAAGCATTCCTGACAAGTCCTCAGATGGTGCTGAGGATGACAAATATACCTGGGATGTGCTTTGCTGGACGCTGTGTCTGCTGGATAGGTGCTGTCAACCGAGAGAAAAAGAGAGAAAGATAAACACTGTAGTCATATTTCAGACTTAAATCCAGCCAATATATAATGTACAAAGCATGCTGACAGCAGTTAGACATATCATCTTAGCTGAAAAAAATCGGTCCATTACAATGAATGTGCTTCAAATGGAAACATATAATGTGCATACTACGCACAGTATCTTCAACATAAAACAATATCACACTAAAATAATTCTCAATTCAAATATCAAAGGGAACACCATTTCCTGTTTGAGCCGTAATGGAGTAAATAAGACACTTGCTTAAGGGATTGAATATTTTCTCACAACGCTGTATGGATGTACAGAGCAATATCTCATGAGATATCTACATCTAGATTAATCATATTCACAGATGCATCGTCAGCACAAACCCCAAGCAGAAAACACTTGCTCATAATCACATGGTGAAACGCGCAAACACACACATACACACATCTTGCCCGGGAGCTTGGGTGACTTATGAGTCTGTGTTTCTTAGCATGCATCTTTCGCTTCAGTGCTTTTGACTGCGTTTAGAATAAATTACCCAGCATTCAACACAAACCCCCATCAGTGAATGCATGGTGGGAAAAGAGGTATGCAAAACTCCCAAGCACAAAAATACAAAATAGATAGTGCCTTCCAGTAGTGTTGCTTTTGTCAACGAAAATTATGACTAAATATAGTCGTCAACGAACCTTTATCACGTGACGAAAACGAGACGAGACGAGACGAAAATGCTGGTCATGTGACGATGACGATAATTAAATGTATAATGCAATATCGTTGACGAATAAAAACGAGACGAAATGTGGCTTACAAAATAAAAACTATGCTAAAATGTCTCTTCATTTTCGTTGACCAAAACGAGACGAAACGAAATGTTATAACGTTATTTCGTCTCGTTATTATTATTATTTTGCAGTATTTCTGTTTCCTGTGTCTCGCTTCAGGCTCTGCATCAGGTCACTTCCTCAAGCCCCACTCGCGGCATTATTTAGAACAGTGTTTCCCACCCGGGGTCTGTCGAGAGCAGGGGTGCCGTGTAAAAAATATTTTTTTAATATAAAACAGGCCGCCAAAAACAACACTACCTTCCAGTTGTTAGTACTTTGATTTCCAGTTTATGGGGTGTTCTGTGCGTAGTGACATCACTACAGGTAAGGTGTTCTCAGTGGTGGTTAACACTTTGGTGTTCAGTTGCTAGGGCATTCTGAGAGGTTGCTAGGGCATTGCTCGGGTGTTGGTGGTGGATTGATGTAGCTATGAGGTTGCCAAGCTGTTCTCAGTGATTCTTAGTACTTTGCTGTCCAGTTGCTTGGGTTTACTGGGTGTAGTGACATCAAAGTGCGGTTCCTAAGGTGTTCTCAGTGGTTGTTAACACTTTGCCGTCCAGTTGCTAGGGTGTAGTGACATCCTTATGCGGTTGCCGAGGTGTTCTTAATGGTTTTTATCACTTTGCTGTTCAGTTGCTAGGGTGTGCTGGGTGTAGTGACATCACTACATGGTTGCTAAGGTATTCTAAGCAGTTTTTAATGGTGTCAAGTTGCTAGGGCATTCTGGGTGGTTGCAACGGCATTGCTTGGGTGTTGTGGGTGGAGTGATGTTGCTATGCAGTTGCCAAAGTTTTTACAGTTGTTCTTAGCACTTTTCTGTCCAGTTTCTTGGATGTAGTGACATCACTGTGCAGTTGCTAAGGTGTTCTCAGTGGTTGTTAACACTGTTGTCCAGTTGCTAGGGTGTTCTGGGTGTAGTGACATCACTGTGCAGTTGCTAATGTGTTCTCAGTGGTTGTTAACACTGTTGTCCAGTTGTTAGGGTGTTCTGGGTGTAGTGACATCACTGTGCAGTTGCTAAGGTGTTCTCAGTGGTTGTTAACACTGTTATCCAGTTGTTAGGGTGTTCTGGGTGTAGTGACATCACTAGGCGGTTGCCACTGTGTTCTCATTGGTTTTTAGCACTTCCAGTTACTAGGGTGTTCTAGGTTGCTAGGGCATTGCTCAGGTGTTCTGGGTGAAGTGATGTTACTATGCAGTTGCCAAGGTGTTCTCAATGGTTGTTAGCAATTTGCTGTCCAGTTGTTCAGTTGCTATGGTGTTCTGGGTGGTTGCTAAGGTATTGCTAGAGTGTTCTTGGTGGAGTGGTGTTGTTATGCGGTTGCTAAAGTGTTCTCAATACTTGTTAGCACTTTGCTCTACAGTCGCTCAGTTGCTAGGGTGTTCTAGATGCAGTAACATCACTATGCGGTGACTAAGGTGTTTTCAATGGTTGTTAGCACTCTGCTGTCCAGTTGCTAGTGTGTCCTGGGTGGTTGCTAGGGCATTGCTAGGGTGCTTTGTGTGGAATGACGTTGCAATGCAGTTGCTATGGTATTCTAAGTGGTTGTTAGCATTTTGCTCTACAGTTACTAGGGTGTCCTGCGTGGTTGCTATGGCACTGCTCAGGTGTTCAGGAGGATTGGCATCATTATACTATGTGGTTGCTAAGGTGTTCTGAGTGGCTTTTAGTGATGCTTTACTGTTCAGTTACCAAGGTGGTTGCTAGGGCATTGCTAGGTGGTTGAGAAGGTGTCACTAGGTTGTATCTAGGGTGTTCTGGTTAGTTGCTCGTTGTTGCTAGGTGATTGCTTGGCTAATTTGGGCAATTATGGTGACATTTCTGATGTGATTGCTAGGGTACTCTGGATGGTTACTAGGACATTTCAAGGTGTTAGTCATGTGGTCTGAGTGGTTGCTAGGGTATTGCTTGTGGTTGCTAGGGCATTCCAAGCTATTAGTCATGTCTGAGTGGTTTCTAGTGGTGTTTGCTCATAGTGATACTTTCCTTAGTAAACATCACTAAAATTACCTTTACAAGAAGGACCAGGAAAAGGAATCATCAAAGCTGCATGCACATCTCAAGATGAAAAGTGAGATTTCCTTGACATAGTGCTTGACAATGAGGGAGTATTGCTTCATTTGCAAACCCAGTTGAGGATTTTAGGCCGAACTGAGAAACATCTGAATACAAATATCTTTCCTTCTGTTCTCACTTTCACCATCAGGGAGGCTAAACGCGTGCCTGGCGGGACTCATTAATCTAAAATAGCGCCTTGCGGCACTGTGAGTGTGGCAGATTGTACAGCCATGTTACAACATGCTTCTGTGAGACTTCAGTCCCTGACTAACTTATATCAATATATGTGCTGTTCTTCTGCAAAATAAAACTGTTACTCGTTTGGCAGACACTATTTATTCAAGGTTACATTACTGCAGGTAAAGGACACCTGGTGCAAGTGTCTTGCTCAAGGGCAACAATGCTGCTGACATATCAGTAAGTCAAAATGTAACCATACATTTGTACATCACCATCCCAAAATATAAATAAATTAATACATACATACTTTCATAAAGTGTTATTATTTTTTAAATAAAAGCATAATAATAAATACATAAAACAAACAAACAAACAGAGTTATTAATTTTTTAAATAAAAATACAGAAAAAAATTTATAGTTTGAATGATTGATTTAAAACAGATTCTCACAGGTAATCTTATGGCTACAGAGGACGAGGAGTGCCACTTAAAAATTAAATGAATGAATGAAAGAATAAATATATATATATATTTTAAATAAAATTATGTATTGTACAATATGGCTACAGAGGATGAGTGCCACTTCAATATTACATTTAACAAAATTACAAATGCTTTTTTAAATATGTATTTAAAAATAATGTCAAATGTAATTCAACTGTTTATATTATATTAATTATATTATATTATATTATATTATATTATAATGACATGCCCTTTTAATGCACAATGGCTGCCAGCAATTAGATGATAACACTACATTTAAAATTTGATAAATTGTTTTCAATGTGTATTTACTTGTCAAGTGACTTGTTTATTTTTGTTTAATAATAAATTAAATTTATGAAAAATATAATTATATATATATATATAATTAAATTCAATAAATTGAATCGAGTAGCACTCTATCATAGGAACTTCATGTTTCCTATGAAAAAGATTCTCTTATGACTGCAAAACTGTAAAATTGAGTTTTCGAATAAAGACAGTGAATGTCAATGCCTATGTCCTTGTTTTGCAATGGGGTGCACAGAGGGGAAAAAAAGGAACACACAATTTAAGATTTATTTTCTGGACAATGTTACTGAAAAAGTTAAAAAAAAATAATAATAATGATGGACTGAATACTGAAAGTGAAAACAGACAGATAGTGTGAATGGTGTGTGAACAGTGCATGCGTAATCCAGAACCAGAAAAGCTCAGCTCTTTGATTTGATCTATCTTTTGCTTCCCTGGAGACAATTCAGCATCAACTTCTAAGAAAACGAAAGGTCTCGAGTCTCTGCAGTCTTCAGTGCTCTCTGCTGCCCGAGGCCAAGTTAAAGTCTTCTCACATCTCTGTCTCTCTGTTCTCTTCAGAAGCTTGTATCTTTCTATATTTTTGGTATTTGTGTGAAACTCCTCCACCTCCCACATATCGAGCTATACAAATCTCTCTGTGACCTCAACATTTGGCTAGTACTTAAAATCGAGTTGAGATTCAGCTACTCTACCCAGGAGTGTTTGCTTTCCTCTGAATTTAGCCCAAAAAGTTAGCCAATCCTCTTAGTCAGGCGCTTTGAAGAGTTCTCTTTTCTCTTCACTAGTTCCTCCAACCTCTTTCCAATTCTCTCTAACATTCTAACTTTAATGGTTGAAGGAAAAATGTTGCCAAAATGAAATTAAACAATATCAGGAATGTCACAATTATTTTAATGTGTTTAAAGTTGCATAAAGACTGAAATAATATTTTACGTAACAGTTTTAACAGCATCTCTGTTTTAAACCTAGTAGCAAAAACTGTTGGATTTGAGAATTTGATTAATTTCTGATTCAAAACACTGATTTGTTTCTAAGAACTGATTCAGCTTAATTTACTTAAACATGGAAGTCAATATGTGCCATCTGACATGCTTTAAAAAGCATAAAGATTAATACATTTTAATATACGTTTAATACACAGTACATTATAAACATTTAATATTATGAATATAACAAACAATAAACATACAACAACAAGAGTAATAATAATAATAATTATAATGATGATGATGGATGATGATGATGAAGATGAAGATGATTATTATTATTGTTGCCAATATAAAATTACGCAACACCATGGATATCAATATCATATTAACAGGCTTTTTTAAAAGTTTCATTAAGTAATATTTTGCAAAGGAAAGATAATATTTTAATATTAATAAACATACAACAACAAGAGTAATAATAATAATAATTATAATGATGATGATGGATGATGATGATGAAGATGAAGATGATTATTATTATTGTTGCCAATATAAAATTACGCAACACCATGGATATCAATATCATATTAACAGGTTTCATTAAGTAATATTTTGCAAAGGAAAGATAATATTTTAATATCTCTGATCTAAACCTAGCAGCAAAAAATAGATTTGAGAAATTTGATTCGTTTTAATGGTCGGATTCAAAACATTGATTCATCTCAAAGCACTGAACTTAATTTACTTAAAATGGAAGTCACTGTGTGGCATTTGACAATATTAATAAAAATTATTAATAAACTATACACATTTAATATTAAAAATAGCTGCTTGGTTTGTCTAATTTAAAAAAATACAACTAATATATATATTGTGATATATTAAATATAATTTTCACAATAATAAGCTTTATTGGACATTGAATGCTGATAAATTGTTTCATTTTACAGCCAAACTGAAATACACAAGCTAATATTTCATCACATTAAACAAATATGTTTCAAGCATTAACAATGTTAAGCTTGCGCATGTGTAGATTTTAGATTATCTATACGATAATGTTTTATTGGAAACAGGTTTTGACAGCAGCATCTGTTTCTAACAGGTGCTTTTGGATTGCAGCTTGTGGAAAACGCTATATATATATATATCCTAAACTGCAGAATGCAGGTAGAGCGCAGAGGTAAATTTAGCCCCTTTGCTGTCATATTACAGAGTGGGCACACAAATCCAGTCCCACACAAACCCAGACATAGATACTTGCATATGGCACAAACGTGTGGAGACATCATGGAAAAAGATCCGGAAATAGTGTGAAGCAAATAAATGTACAGTATTAGCAGCTTTTCCACAAGCTGCAATTCAGAAGCACCTGTTAGAAACAGATGCTGGTGTCAAAACCCGTTTCCAATAAAACGTTATCATCGTCGAATAGGGGTCTAGAGAATAAAGTGAATTACTGAGGGTAGAAATATAATCAAAAGCTAAAAAAGCTTCTTTTTTAAATTTCCAATATTGTTTCTTATTAAACTCCAATGGGTAACTGTTCCATAAAGCTGTAAATACGCTATGAGGCTTTCTGGGAAATAGAATATGTAAATGTTTCATTCTGATGAGGCGTCTTGGGAACCTGCCCTCTAATGGAGTGTTTAAAACATTTCTGCTTTCTAATCGTTCAGCTCATTCTACAGGTGGTAACTCGGCAACATCTGCACATTATGCCTACATTATGCACATACGCAACAGTTAAAGGAATGCATTAAAACATTAATTCCTGCTCTCGTTTCCATGGATGACTCACATATTAATAAACCCATTTTGAAGAACTTGCAGCAAAAGCAACAAAAACACTTGAAAACAGAGACGTACAAACCAAAATACAGGTCATTATTACAACGGAAAAAAATAATCATAAACTGTTTCATAATCACAAATAAATAATGACCTGGATTTAAATTTTATTTTCAGTTTATATTTGACTAATCTTTTAAGAATTTAAGTCACAGTCTTCATTTTACTTTTAATGGTTTACATATAAATTAAAACTTAAACTGTATAATTATATAAAATATTTTAGTAATATACAATTGCATAAAATACAATCATATACAATGATATATATATATATATATATAATACGGCACAAAAAACACAAACATTTCACTAAAACACTAAACTACCTAAAATATCATTTAATAATATAAAAAATATTATATGAGATATTTTAGTCTTTTTTGTGATTTATGATTTCATACTTTATTTTTCTTTTCTTTTTTTATGTGCATACTTACAAACATGCATATATAATAATTTAAACCAGAACTGTAAAATCATAAGCAAATAATTCAGCAAACATAACCTTTGCATTAAGCGCACATACGTGCCTCATTTGTAAAGTGTAATTTTTCTACCCAAGCATCTCATAAATAAAAGTCTTTGAATAAAGTAAGCAATTTGCATGAATTTTAAATCATAAGCGTTGCAAAAACATCCATTGTATGTTCTCCTAACATCCAACAGAGGAGGCTGTAGCAATTTACTGCTTCAGGGATGAAAATGCACACATCGCAAACTGATCGGAAAGCAATCAGTGTACTTACCATTTTATAGAGATCAGAAACGCTGATCTGGTCCGCATCGACCATTTCAAACTCTTTCCTGGGTACCAGATCTAAGCCTAAGTGTCTGTTGAACACAAGAAAACAACAGGGCAGAGATTAACGTAGATTCCTCACGACTGATATACTTCGAATGTATAATATTGTGGATGATAAAAGCACAGAAAATCTGTCAAGCTGTTGTGTTCACCTGTTGTCATGGGCATTCTTTTATATCTTTTTTTTATCCATAAATCGCTCCATTGCTATATGCAATGTGATGGACACTAGATTGGAAAAAAAATGACATAAGAACGTTTCTAGACAAGTTTTCTTACACAGAGCTGTTAAAACTGGGAGGCTCATATGGTAAGCTGCTAGCGTTAGTGTTACGTGCAGCTGTCATACTGTAGAGCTACAGAAACCGGTGTTGCCCTCATAACTAGGGTTGCCAACTTCAGAAAAGGAAAATAAGGGACAATCGTGGTTTTTCATAGAAAAATAAGGGACAGAATAAGGGACACACACACAGGCCTATTATGTATATTTGATATACAGTATATCTCTTTTATATATTTAAAAAAAAAAATGTATCTCATCAAGGCTGTATTTATTTGATCAAAAATACAGTAATATTGTTAAATATTATTGCAATTTCTAATATTGGTTTAATTATACTTTAAAATATCATTTATTTCTGTGACGCAGCACCGGATTTTCAGCATCATTACTCCAGTCCTCAGTGTCACATGATCCTTTAGAAATCTTTCTTATGCTGATTTATTATCAGTGTTGAAACTTGTGCTGCTTAATTTTTTTTTGGAACCTGTGTTCCATAAATAAAACTAAAAGTTAAAAAGAACAGAATTTATTCAAAATATAAAAATTTTCTAACAATATCACTTTTTATCCATTTAACACATCCTTGCTGAATAAAAGTATTCTAAAAGTTATTTGATATACAGTATATCTCTTTTATATATTTAAAAAAAAAATGTATCTCATCAAGGCTGTATTTATTTGATCAAAAATACAGTAATATTGTTAAATATTATTGCAATTTCTAATATTGGTTTAATTATACTTTAAAATATCATTTATTTCTGTGACGCAGCACCGGATTTTCAGCATCATTACTCCAGTCCTCAGTGTCACATGATCCTTTAGAAATCTTTCTTATGCTGATTTATTATCAGTGTTGAAACTTGTGCTGCTTAATTTTTTTTTGGAACCTGTGTTCCATAAATAAAACTAAAAGTTAAAAAGAACAGAATTTATTCAAAATATAAAAATTTTCTAACAATATCACTTTTTATCCATTTAACACATCCTTGCTGAATAAAAGTATTCTAAAAGTTTCTTTAAAAAAAGAAAAGAAAAAAAATGTACTGACCCCAAACTTTTGAATAGTAGTGTATATTTAACAAATAATTGTTATTTTGAATAAATACTGTTCTTTTTAACATGTGTTTTTATCAAAGAATCCTGAAAAAGATATCACTGGTCCCAAACAATAATAAGCAGCACAACTGTTTCCAACACTGATTATAAATCAGCATATTACAACGATTTCTGAAGGATCATGTGACACTGAAGACCTGAGTAATGATGCTGAAAATACAGCTTTGCTTCACAGGAATAAATTAAGTATACATAGAAAACTGTTATGTTAAATTGCAATAATAGGCTATTTCACAAAATAATTTTTTTTTCTGTATTTTTGATCAAATAAATGCAGGCTTGATGAGCATAAGAAACTTGAACATTAAAAAACAAAAAAACATTAAAAATCTTACTGATCCCAAACTTTTGAACGGCAGTATATAGGCTATAGGCAATCTACCTCATGAACAGTTAAATGTTCTCCCATTGTGCAATACAAATATGTGTATTAACCTTATACTATTTATCACCCTACATCCATTAAATGTAAATTGTTTTATCTAGGATAACTTTTGTTATTGATCACGTCTTCCCTCAGGTAAAATCATAGACTGTATAAAAGGGTAAAATGCACGTTTTCTTGCGTGGCAGGATGTTGGAATCACGTTGTTTGCATTCGCTCAAACTGATTTGCTGAAGTCGAAACGCGGACGTAAAGAAAAATTTACTCCATTAGCACAAATCCAGCTTGCTATGAAGCGGGAGCGACCTGCCGGCAGAGGATTCCGCTTGGTCTTAAAGCCTCCCCGTTCACAAATCAAACACTTGTCAAAAAAAAATGATTAATTCTCAATTTAGAGTTTGTTATTCGTATGGTCTAGGTGGTCATACGGCATATGCCTTAAAGGGGTCATATGATGCAATTTCATTTTTTCCTTTCTCTTTGGAGTGTTACAAGCTCTTGGTGCATAAAGAAGATCTGTACATTTTTAAAGACTAAAGTCTCAAATCCAAAGAGATATTCTTTATAAAAGTTAAGAGTCAGCCACACCTACCTAAAACGGCTCGTTCGAACACGCCCCCACATATCTACCTCACAATGTGGGAAGATAACGCCTAATGCCGCCCAAATGTTCACGCAAAGAAAGAAGGCGTAACTTTTGCCCCTGCCTAGCCAGGGGTATGCTTATAAATTTGCATATTTTCTGAATATCTCAGTGCAAATTAGTTCTCCAGAGAGGCCTCTTGCATCATTGGCTTGTATCAGAGCATAAATAAATCTATTTGTTGGTGACTTTGTGTAAACAGACAGTAATAAACTTATTATGTGACAATTAAGCGTTTTTAGCAATAACAAGCTTGATATACTCCACAACTTCAGCGTGAATGCCTCTAATTTGCTACGTCAAATGTTGCTCAGTATATAAAAGTATTGTTATTGAGGCAGAATCAGCCCTCTTGCAGTCATACACAAAATATTTTAACATATATATTATAGTTTATAATAATAACGGTGACTAAATACAAGATCACTTCAAGATAACCTGAGAAAGGCATAATGAAAACATTATTAGATTGTTTGAAAAACACTCAAGATGCTCTTCAACTCATCCTTCAAGTATTTATGGAACATATCAGTAAGTGCTCCCGTCTCAAATCCATTTCATCCCATTTACTCAATTATTTCTTAGTTTGCTGATCTGAAGACCTGGCAATGATGTACTGCTGAAAGCCCAGAACCACAAAGTGCCTCACTGCAGAAGTGAATCTTCAGGTGACCTTGAAGAAGAGGGATGAGTGGTCAACATGTGCCTGACACAGATGCTGATACACTGCAGTACTTTGTTCATCTGACCTCTAAAAGACTGTTTTGGCCTTTCATTCTTCGCTATAAGAGGTGAACCCCATGACTTTCATTTTGGCGGTCTGGTCTGCTTCTATGTTTTAGATAGCATCATCTATTACTTAACAATACAGGCAATATTGTACAGTATAGTAAACATCATTTATCGCTGACTGAAACTTCAGTTTGCAGTATCAGCAAATGTATACTGGACATAACACTTTTGAAAATCTCTTTAAAAAGATGAAATAATGATGCAAGAACTGTAAATACTGACTCTCAAAACTCAAAAGCTGTGAAGAATTGCACAACTGTGTAGGCTAAAATTGGGGGCGGTATCTGAAGTACAAACACAACTGCCTTTCTCTGCAGGGAAAAATCAATTTACTCTCAATTAAAAAAAAACAACTAATCTTTGTGTTGTGTTGATTTATTTGGCCTTAAAGTTTGCATTTGAAATATCAACGTAATTCACATAACCAGGCAGTGAATGACATATGTTCTTGTTCTCCTCATTTCCTTCACTGAGCTGGGCCAATTTGATTTAGGGTGACGAGAAAGCCGCAGTGATCCATCTCTAGCATTTCAGCTTCTTTGACTCTACGATCAGGAGGCCTTGGCCTGTAACACATTAAAATCGCTAGCAGATCTTCATGATGCACAAGAGCTTATTTAAACACTCCTCTATTGCAGTGGTTCCCAAACTGGGGGGGGGGGGGCAAGGCTGAGGAATAGTTAGGGCCCTATTAAATCCGTATTATTTTTTCCCAAATTCCATTTGATTTTTTTTACAAATTCCGTTTTTTCCATTTAAATTTTTCTGGATTCCAATTTTTTTTTTTCCATTAAAATTTTTCTCGACTCCTTTTTAATAGTTCAATTACATTTTATTAATTAAAAAGCATGTCTTATTAATTAAAATCGCGACCCCCGGGATGGGGGGGCTTGGGTGCGGAGCTATGACAAGGGGGGCGCAGCAAGGCTGAAGGATAGTGTACAGTTAGCAGATTATTTTGCAAATGAAACCTCTGCAGGGTAATAAAGACTACACTGCATAATTTTACCACTTATCATGAGGCCACTTGCCTGATAAGCAAATAATTGAAACCAAAATATTAATTTGACATACAGTGGTGTGAAAAAATGTTGGCCCCCAACATTTTTTGCATGTTTGTCACACTTTAATGTTTCAGATCATCAAACAAATTTAAATATTCCGTTCCCACGGCTCTCGGCCCCGCCCCCACTCGTCACAGTTCTGCTCTAAGCATGTAAGTTACAAGTTTGTGAAAATACTGCCAGTGTCAGGTACGTAAAGCAGATGATGAATATACTTAAGATTCACAAATACAAAAACAATGTGTGCTCAACGTGATAAAAGCAAATAGAACCATCAGTTTGCATCAGTTGATGCGACGCGAGTCACGCAACACGACAAATCCATGACAGTAAACTGATGCCCCGTTCTATTTCTGATGAACTCCAGCACTCTGACACAAAGGACAATTGGATTTGCAATGTTCACTTTGTCACGTCCAGTTGACATAAGCTGTTGTTTGTGGCCGTCATGTCCAGTGTGGTGAAAAGACAAGAAAATGACTAGGCATATCTCGCATTTAGATTCACCTGTATGAAGCCGAACAAGTTAAAATGGCAAGTAGGCTGGTTAAGTATTAGGCTACTATGCCAATCACAATATTTCAAATACGACAAATCCATGACCGTAAACTGATGCCCCGTTCTATTTCTGATGAACTCCAGCACTCTGACACAAAGGACAATTGGATTTGCAATGTTCACTTTGTCACGTCCAGTTGACATAAGCTGTTGTTTGTGGCCGTCATGTCCAGTGTGGTGAAAAGACAAGAAAATGACTAGGCATATCTCGCATTTAGATTCACCTGTATGAAGCCGAACAAGTTAAAATGGCAAGTAGGCTGGTTAAGTATTAGGCTACTATGCCAATCACAATATTTCAAATCAAATATACACTTTTTCAATCAATGTCATGTATGGGAGGATGCATGTATATTCATAAGAGAATCATGAAAATATTTTCATGAAAAAAAAGCGGTTTTCAGCATTAAAATTATCAGAAATGTTTAATGAGCAGCAAATCAACATATTAGAATAATTTCTGAAGGATCACATAGCACTGAAGACTGGAGTAATGATGCTGAAAATTTAGCTTTGATCACAGTAATACAGTATATGTTAAAACATTCAAAAAGGCCTAGATATTTAAAATTGACACATTTTACGATATTACAGTGTTTACTGTATTTTTTTATAAATAAATGCAGCCTTGATGAGCATAAGAGACTTTCTGCAGGGGCTGAAAATATTTTTCTCTACAAAAGGAGGGCCCGGCAGAAAAAGTTTGGGAACCACTGCTCTATTGAGAGAGGCAGGGCTGGACATCAATCTCAATTAGTTATTTGGAAGGTGGATAAAAAGCATGACAGTCCAATAGACTTGTTTATTAGGACATATTTTAAAAGCTCAACTGACATATTTTGTCTATGTAAGAGTGCAGAAATACGAAAACAGCTAAATCACATTAGCATGATGGCTAGCATCGCTAACAAAAGCGTAAAGGCATCTTTTCTGGTTCTTCCACATGATTTTGACCCATGGTTGAAGTTAGCATGATGGTTAACGTTGCTAACAACACCTTACAAGCATCTTTGCTGGTTCTTCCACCAGATTTAGACAAATGGTGGAAGTTACCATGATCGCTAACATTGCTAACAAAAGTTTTTTTTCCCACATGATTTAGACCCATGATTAAAGTTAGCATGATGGCTAACATTGCTAACAACACCTTAAAGGCATCTTTTCTGGTTCTTCCACAAGATTTCGTACTATGGTGGAAGTTAGCATAACGGCTATCATTGGTAAGAACACCTTTAAGGCATCTTTGCTGGTTCTTCCACAAGACTTAGACCAATTAAAATAACGGCTAACACTACTAGCATCACCTTTAAAGCATCTTACAATTAAGACAAGAGTAACTCACTCATTGCCCCAGTCCAGTCGTACAGTGATGTGGCGTTTGACTTCACGGACTTGATCCTGGGTCAGGTGGCCAGAAAGCAGTTGTCGCCTCAGATCAATCAACTCACTCATCACGTGACGGAGTTTGTAAAAGAGGTCGACTTTATGCTTCTGTAGAGAGAAAAAAAAAAGGGAAAATATTTATTTCATCCATCCACTCATGACAAACTATACGCAAATTTAACCAGGCAAATGTACAGTGGTCATATGTCACACATACTATAGTGTAAGTCAATGAATATTATGCAAGTACATCCAGTGCAGATTTCAATACACACTTACTGAGGTTTAGATAAATAAAATGACACTGAACTACAGAATATCTTAGTACTTTAAATGTACTGGTTCCTCAAAGACTGCAAGCATTACCAACATACATCTACCATGGCATTTTTATGATACTTCAAGGTACTCCAAAGAATGCCATGGTATTTCCATGGTACCATGTCCAAAAAAACATTTCCATGTCCAACAATCACCAGATCACAGTACGTCACTTCTCAGAAGTGCCACGATCCAATAAACGTGACAAGTTTAATTGGCGAAAACTAGTGCTGACCAATGGTAACAGACACCAATAGGGTTAACACACTGGTCGAAGTAAACCCAACGAATGTCTGTTACAGTTGCTCTTCATTTGTCAGTACAGTGTAAATTAGCCTTGAAGTGACAGTCACACTAACAGCATTCATTTCGGCAAATAATTATAATATTATTTATAATAATATAATAATTCTCAACCCTGCTCAACTTTGTTTTATGTGTCAGTGAAATCAATGACTTCTGGTCGCTTTGCTTCTACAAAATCACTGTCAGTGTGAATGGGATGTTATGCTGCCTTCGCATGATGTTTGAATTACAGTAATGTAGATAATCAAAGCCACACATGTCCCAAACACATACAAAACTAAAGTTTGTGTATGATGGATGATAACGACTCTTCAGACATGCAGCAGACAGATCTTTGCATTTGTCACACCAACATGTTGTGCCGGCTGTGCATGTGGTCTCCAGTGCCCTCCATCACCAAAACATCTCAGAACTTGAGTTTGACATGCTCTTGAATACAAAAAAGATTTATGTGGAGTTTACACAAGAATGTTCATTAGATACCAATCACAAGATACCCATATATGAAGTATCTGTCACTATGTCATTCCACAGTCTGTTCATGGTGAAATCAAATAGGATTTGGACACTCAGGTAAAAGCCACATCCATCAAATTCCCAGTTGTACTCACTTGGACTTCTGGGACTGGAGTGGGGCTGCAGCTATCGATTATTTTAGTAATCGAGTATTCTACAGATTATTCCATCGATTATTCAAGTAATCGGATACGAAGTAATTTTTTCTTTATTAAAGAGCAATACTAAATATACAAGAGATAATAAGATAGGTCTCTTAAAATAAACAACTAATTTGTTTTCTTTTTAGAAAAATTTTAATTTTTATTGCTGAAATTGCATACATTAATAACTGTGAAAACTAAACCCATTTAATGCATTTAATTGCCAAATTACATTCAAAATGCAAATACAAATATATCAATAAAAAAATATGTATACAAAAATTAAATCTAGTCTCGCCCTATTGATCCTGTTCGCCGATCGTAAACCCACGCTAGCCCTAGGATATATTCTTGTGTCTTGCCTTCTACATACCTATTGCCATTATCTAACCCTTGCCTGTCTCTACCATGTCTATTAATAAAGCTTTGCACTTGGATTCGCACGTCTCACGTCTCGTCAGCCCCGTAACAGAGTATATCGGAGATATTACTCAATTTGATCAATGAGATATTTTTAGGCAATTCCATTTGCCTGGATCTGTGGAACAAAATGAATTAAAGACGTAAATATGTGTCCCTTCTCTGGACCTCTACAAAGGATTTCATACATGAAAATATCTAGTTTAGACATTGTTTCTGCTTAGTTTTTTTCCTGTCTTCCATGTGAGATATTTCTGGATTAAAGTATATTTTTGTACACAGTGTGGGGTCATCCTCCCTTCAGTGCTCTTGCTCTCTTACCATCCATGAACATAGTAATCCTTTTACAACAATGACACACAGATTTATCAGCCTCTGCAGTATAATATGATTATGATTGTTTTAAGTTGGCTGTCGAGAGACCTATATCAATCCTTGAACTTTAACTGAAATAAAAAACTTGGAATAAAAAACTTGGATTGACAGCCACCCCCACACCCCAGCGGCAAGAACCTTGCCTCCTCTGTGGTAACTGAAAGATGGATTGCACACAGTTCACAATCCATCAGGATCCTCTACCACTTACAGGGTCCCTAGTCGATTAACAAGTACTTTAACGATTGACATTGATATTTCAGTAGGGTATTCAGAACAGAGACTTCAAACGTCAACAGAGAATGTCTAATGCTGGAATCCTTCAAAAGAGGAATGACAGGTGCAACGCACCCAGGAACAGCACATTGTTTGGCAAACTTTCCCCCCATGTCTTACTCTTATTGTTTAGTCATATGCCACCTGGACTAATAATATAATCTTCTTCTGGTGCACAGAAATTCATCCAACTTCCTCCATATTATTACTATGACTACGCGGACCAAACTGATGAACACTAAATAGAAGTCATTGTTGTGCCAATATTAGTGTTGATGTACGTTTCTGAAATCAGAAACCCGGAAAAACAAGCACTTTTTTGCAGCTTAGTCGCAATGAAGTGTCTTTGCATAGTCTGTAAAACACACACATATATATATATATATATATATATATAGATATATTCGCCAGGCTCCCGACAGGAGTGGGTGCATGAGAGAGGAGGGGCGCTGGAATAGCCAGGGCTGGCGACGTTTGATGAGGCACACCTGAACCGAATGGAGCCTCATCACCGCCGCTGTTTAAATGCCGAGCGCGCCTCTCCTCGGGAGACCGGTCTCTTCCCCGTGCATGCATGCTGGTGTCCTCGTGGGTCCAGGAGGGGTGTGTAGAGGGACTCCCGCGCCACCAGAGTTGTGAGCTGCCGGACCCGGATGAGAACCGCACCTGTTACACGGCCGTCGAGCCAGGATGCTGGGCCGTCTAGTCCCTTCAAGCGCCGTGGGCAACGAGAAGGATGCAGCCGCTGGAAGAAGCCGCCGCCCCTCGCGCCCCTGACCGGAGAGAGGACCGCGTGTGGCCACTGGACTCAGCCCCTTACCTGGACCCTTCCTTCCTGAACACTGCCCTTCCCTTCACGAACGCCACAGCATGACGAGGACACCAGATCCCCTGTTTATTTTGGACACTTTACTCCCTTTTTCTGGGCACTTTGCACCACTGTGTCTGTCGTTTGCTCCTCCCGCCACAATATATATATAGATGTGTATATATATATAAAATAAAATGATCACTTATAATAATCCATCACTAATACATGGAAAATGTATATATTCAACAAGAAACCAGCCCAGCGCAAAACTGTATACTGTATGGCTCTCACCTCCTACTGCAGTCATAGAGATCAACGTACCTTCAATGACTTCTAAACATCAGCCTCCACTGAAGATGGTGCCTCAAATAGCATCAAAGCTTTTCTCATTAAAGCCCTGTTTGTTTAGCTGGTTAAATGACCCATTATAACCATTAGCTCTCATGAGAACACAAAACTATCACGTTCATCTCTTGTGCTGTGACTTCTGGCTTTTAGTAAGACACCAGGTGGATACAATGGATGCTTCTGAGGAAGAACTAATCACAGGATCGACGTTTATCAGGTTAGTGGCACTGAATCTTTGCCAGATACTAAGAGTTAGCAGAGAATTAGCACTTAGCAGCAGCATACGCAACAAAACACAACATGCTAGTGAGCCTGAAGTAAAGGATGCAGTGGACTAACTGCCATTCTATAGAAAGTATTAATGAAGCTAGTGCTAAAACAAACACAAAATCCTAAATTAACACATTTTTCTAACAGGAAACATATTACAGGACATAATACACACAATATGAATTGTAAACCATGAACAATCCATTTATTAGCTTCCTGTGTCCTCTATTTGAGACACTTCAGCCAGTGATAGAGTGTGACTCACAGCATTTCGCCCACGTTATGTACAGTCACCGCTGCTCCTTCGGGTGCTAATGCTAACGCTCACCTGCACTAGCCGACTCATATCTCTACCCACACAAAGGGTCTCTTCTCTAACCACACGTTTGACATTCAGGTTTTGTTACGGGAAAGAAAACAGATGGTAAATGGATTAAAAATAAAAGAAAACTTAGACTATTAGCTAAGGAAATGCTAGCAGGTGTAAAGAGAGATTTGCATATACATTACAATGTGGGCAGTTCAGTGGAAGCCCAAATGACAAAATTAATGCAAACTAATGGGTCTATTGTGTGAATAATGAACCATCTCACTTGAAATGTGAGTTTTGTGACAAAAAAGTCAGTTTAGCTTGTCTGAATGCTCCATTTAAAGAACAACTTATGGGAAAACTGCCACATTTGAGGCTGAAATGCACCATTAACTTCACGGTTGAAGGTTTAAATCATTTTCAAACAGCACACAGCATAGCTGTTTCATTTTTTTTAACTTTAAAACTTCAGGGTACTGTCCTGCCTGGAAAGCTTCGGCAGTTTGAGATGATTATTAGCGGCACAGCATCACATTAGCATAGTCAACTAGCATAACATTTTCCAAAATAACTTGAAAAGACCATATGTGTGAGTATGTTGTGAAGGTAATAGGTAGTTGACACTAGTTAGTTGAGTGGATATTAAAGAGTGTGTGACTGTATGTGCGCTAACAAGCTAGCATCAAATCTCTTGTGGCCCGACATGACCTTTGCTCAGGGCACGCAATCTCACTTTACTCACAGTTCCATGCTGCCAAGCAGGACTGTCAGTCATTCAGTGTTTGCGTGTCTTTGCTCTAGGTCAACAAGGGGCAGTGGAAATGACAGACTATATGGGAAGGTCAGACAGTATTGTGGCGATTTCACAGAAAAAAAACATGCAACAAACTGTTCAGAGTTCTCCATCAAACCTCAAGTGACCTAGATGATTATAAATTCAGCTAATTCATCTTAAAATTACAGTAAATTTGCAGCAAACATCCAAGTGTGTTTGTCTGAAAGTTCAGGTTAA